ACCCGGCAACTCCTCTGGAAAGACATCCGGGAACTCACGCACTATAGGAACCTCCTCCACCGACCTCGACCTCTTAGAATCAACCCGCGTATCTGACACGTATGCCACAAAACCCTTACAACCCTGTTGTAGACACTGCCTCACCCTAGCGGACGAACAAAACGCTGATCTAGAACGGGTACCCTCGCCGTACACTGTAAGAACTCCCCCACTAGGGTTTCGTATGGTCACTAGCTGTCGCTCGCAGTCGATAACCGCACCGAACCTGCTCAACCATTCCATGCCCACAATGACACAAACATCCCCCATGGAAATAAGAACCAAATCAATCGGGAACTCAACATCGAAAATCTCGAGTACGCACCCACGGATCACCTTCGTGGCATATATCACCTTCTCGTCAGCTATGGAAACTCTCAGAGGCCGACTCAGCGCCTCGCGACTAGCACTGATGTGCTGACTAAAAGCCAAAGATACAAAAGACCGACTCGCACCCGAGTCAAATAATACCAAGGAAGGTACAGAATTCACAAGAAAAGTACCTACGCATAACATAATATAAGCATAATATCTCAACATTACAATAAATACACAAAAGAATACATACCAGCCACGACATCGGGCGCTACGCGGACCTCCTCCGCGGTCAACTGAAAGGCTCTCCCATGTACCCTCGGCGCCTCGGCCTTCACCGGCCGACTCTCAGTAGCTCTGATGGCGGCAGGGGCAGATCCCTGAGGTGCTCCCTGTGCTAATCCCCGCAACTGCGTACATTCTGCCTTCCGGTGTCCGGTCTGGTTGCAGTGAAAACATACTACAAACCCCTTGGGGCAGTCCTTGGCCATATGCCCCTCCTTGCCACATTTGTAGCAAGATCCAGCTCTACATACTCCATCATGACCCTTGCCGCACTTTCCACAAGTGCGGCCCTTGTGGCTCCCTGATTTGGGATCAGCGGGCTTGGCCCGCTTGGCTGCCGACTGGAATTGTGTCGTTCGCCGATCCCTCCACTGAGACTCAGCCTCCTCTCTAGCTTGAGTCTCCAGCTCGATCTCCCTCTTCCGAGCATTTGCCTGAAGCTCAGCAAATGTCCGGTACGAGGATTTCTCCATGAACTCCTGAATCTCTCGCCTCAAGATACTCAGATACCGGCTCATACGTTCCTGCTCAGTGGACACATGCTCAGGGCAGAACATCGCCCTCTCGTGGAACATCATGATAATCACCGTAACAGACTCAGTGCCCTGCTTGAGGGTTAGAAACTCCTGGGCCAAAACGCTCCCTCTCCTCCTGGGGAACGTACTCATCTCGGAACATGGTAGTAAACCTCTCCCAGGTCACCGCTGCAAGCTCAGCAGGTGAAAAGTGCGCTGTCACAAACTTCCACCAGTCCTTCGCTCCCAAGCGAAGTTGGTTCAGTGCGAACCGTACTCTCAAATGCTCAGGAGATGAGCAAGTGAAGAAACACCCCACCATGCCAGAAATCCATCTCATAGCCGCCACCGGGTCCGGGGTCCCATCAAACTCTGGTGGTTTCGTGTTGCTGAACTCCTGGAACAGCAACGCATCACCACCCTGCGGCCTCGTAGCAGCAACAGCTGCGGTAGCCGCTGCAACAACAGCCTCAGAAAGATCAGCGTAACGCTCGTCGAAAGTCTCAATCAACGTGGTCTTAATAAACCCGAACATCTCTGGTATCTCTGCCCTGATGGCCGCAGCCACCTCCTTGTGAATGATCTGACGGATCTCCTCATCGCTAGCCCCAACGCCCTCTGGCATATGACGTGTCCTCACCATGATCAATCTCTGAAATACAACATACGATAAATTAGAATCCATTCGAGTATACTCACACTCGACACTCATCCCTCCTTGATCCTTGGTATTCCGAAGATTCTTACTTGGACCGTACATCGCCCCGGTGCTTTCAGTAGTACGGGCCCAATACTACTGTCAACACCGTTTCAGTATACACCCCAAATCCTCCTCTTCGAATCCCTATTTCCAAGTACTCTATCACTTTCTAATAGATCTCTCATAAGCTCCTTGCTACTACCTATTCTCTCTCAAGCATCTCATAGCAGCTCACCTCTCCCTAGGCTAAGGCATCACAAATCAGGGCACTCTAGTCCTAATAGGAATACCTAGCCTACTTTAGCAAGGGAATACATCATAACAATCTCATAAACATATAATATAAGGGTATTTTGGGAAATCACTGTTTGAGTGCTGACTGATCGTACACACGTTTCTCCTCTGAATTTCTCTAGAAATCTTTTACTTTTTTGAAAATTTGGTTTTCTTTTTGAAAATATTTTCCAAATCCTCAGTTTGAGTTCAAATACTCCCGAAGGTGTACCCGAATCCCTCAAACCAAGGCTCTGATACCAACTTGTAAGACCATAAATTTCAAGACAATTTTTTCGAATTTTATAAAAACATAATTCACTTAATATTCATAAAACAACCATGTTTGAAATTCAATTCAAGTAATACAAAAATCCCAAGATCTCAAAATCATAAATCCCATGCGTGTGTACAGATCAAGCTGGCGCCTTCCCGCGGTCGTGACTAGTACCTGAAACAATAACACCAAACACTGTGAGCACAAAACTTAGTGAGTTCCCCAAAATACCACATATAACACATATTAGCCACTCGAGGCTATAACTCTGTGGGTCCGTGCACCCAAACTCTGTGAACCCTAAGGTTCTAACTCTGTAAACATGCACAACATAAATCACAAAGAATAATGCAGCGCAACACATACCACAAATATAGCATACAAGCACTGTATCACATAACTCTAGTTACCTACTCAAGGTATGTATAGTGACAAGACTCACCTCGCGTATCTCGATAACTTGCAAGTCCCTGAAATCACTCGTGCTCGGTCTCCAGATCTATAGTCCTCCTATAACACAATACATCTCTAAATAACACTTCACAACTAAGGTTGACTATCCCTTAACAAGTCAACATAGGTCAACACCGGTCAATGGTCAACGGTCAACTTTGACCGGACTCGGCGAGTGCACTATAGCGACTCGGCGAGTCTATGCACATACACTGATTTCCCTGGGATCCTCACTTGACACGACGAGTATTCTCCTAGCTCGACGAGTTCCACCTGGCATCTTGACTTAGTCCACCTGTCAAACCACTCTGACTCTCCCTGACTCACTGAGTGAATCCCTTAACCCGGCAAGACCACTCACTGAGTGGTGCTGGGTAATCTTCATGCTACTCGCCAAGTCTGTTCTTTGGACTCGGCAAGTCCATGCCATGCAACAACTCAAACTCGCTCCTGAGGTCAGATCTGTTCCATACATTCATAGATCTGGCCTCCCCAAGCATGATAATCACGTAAAGTCCAAACCTTGGGGCTCAAACAACAACTATTTGCTCATAAATGATGTTTTAGCCCCATACTCATAACTCTAGGCCAATACTCTCATGAACACTCATAAAGCTTAAGGAATACAGCTCTTCTGGACCTCTATGGATCTCATCTCAAGCCTTATCATGAATAGGGACGAAATGGACATCAAATCTAACCAACAAAGGGGTCAAGAAACCCTAAACCCCCATGTTCATCATAAAAACGAAAAAGGAAACCAAGATATACCTCCAAGATGATGCTCTGTGCTCCAAAAATCACAGAATGTCCACTTCCCTTATCTTCTCTTAGCTAGAATCTCCTTTGCCTTGCCAAACCAAGCTCCAAAGGTCAATAATGGCCTCTTTTCTCTCCCAAAATGCTCAAATCTCTTTAGGGTTTCTCTCTAGGGGTTGGTGGTCGCAAATGATGGCCATAAGCCCCTTTAAATAGGTCTCAAACCCTGGGAATTAGGGTTTCATTACACAGCGTGGACTTGCCGAGTCCACTCTTGGACTCGCCGAGTCCAAACACGAACCCGCGTCCAAAACCCCGATCCTATTCGACGAGTTTGAGCTCCAACTCGCCGGGTCCACTCACAATCTTCCAAAAATACACTAATAATAAATACCTGGAAATTCCAGGCTGTTACAAGATGGCAAGAACTACTTTAGTAAGTTCTATGTTTGCTTTGATGCATTGAAGAAAGGGTGGAAGGAGGGATGCAGGAAGATAATAGGTTTAGATGGTTGTTTCCTTAAAGGGATCTGTAAAGGGGAGTTATTATGTGATGTTGGAAGGGATACAAACAATGTGATTTATCCTATTGCATGGGCAGTAGTATGTGTAGAGAATAAGGAAAATTGGAGGTGGTTTTTGGATTTACTCATTGATGACTTATGACTTAATTTGGGCTATGGATATAGTGTAATATCTGATCAACACAAGGTAATTTAATTGTTTGCAATTAATTTTCCTATCTATTTGCATCCTTATTCACTATATTTAGAATTTGTTAACAGGGTTTGATTGAGGATGTGAAACAACTCTTTCCATATATAGAGCATAGGCAGTGTGCCAAGCATATTAGACAAAACCTTAGAAAAGGTATAATGGTGCCCAATATGAAAGCATATTCTGGAAGGCATGTAAAGCAACAACAACAGGAAGATGTTTTGATGTTGTGGAGAATGGAATGTCAGAAAGTTTTAATGTTGTGATTGTTGATGCTAGGAAGAAACCAATTATCACTGGCTAGAGGAGTTGAGGATGTATATGATGGAGAGGGTGTTCAAGAAGAAATGCAAGGGTCTAGGATAGGGCAACCAAATTTGTCCAACAATTAGAGAAATAGTGAATGATAGTAAGAAGGGTCTATGACATTACCAAGTCTTACCTCGTGGACCAAATCAGTTTGAAGTTAGATGAACTACAGATGCTTATGAAGTGGATCTTGAAGAAAGAACTTGCTCATGCAAGCTTTGGCAGCTTAATGGAATCGGTTGTGTCAATTCTATTGCAGCTATTAGTTTTATGAATAGGGATGTAGATTCATATGTGTAAAAAATGTTTAGTAGCATCACTTACATGAAGGCATACAAGTTTAGGTTAGCACCTATGAATGGAAGTAATTTGTGGCATGCAACTGATTACACCCCACCTTTACCTCCTGTTCGTAGAACTATCCCTGGGAGACCTTCAACTAAAAGGAAAAGGGATGCAACATAAACCCCAAACGAGTCAAGTAAAAAATAAAAGACAATTACCCAAATACAAAACAAAGATAAGGAGCAGGTGAAGGTATCCAAGGCTGGGAAAAAACAAAAATGTAGCCTTTGTAAGATTGAAGGACACAACCAAAGAGCTTGTACTTTAACAAGGCCTCCTAAAACCAAAGCTAATAGAAAAACAAAACTGGTACATAAGTATTTAAATGGTTAATCTTTACAATTTCTTTTTAAATTTCTAATAATGTTTCATATTGGTCAATCAGGGTGTAGCTGAAGCACTCAATGAGGATGATGAAGCTAATCAATCTAATGCAGTCAGTGATGGTGGAGAAGCAGTCGATGAGGTGCATGTGCAACAAGACTATGATGAGGTGGAACTCACTCCTTTGGAGTTTGATGCATCAACTAATGGAGAACCTAGTTAGGTTCATGTGCAAGAACAGGAGGCTAGAGAAACACCACTTGCAACCCTGTTGAAGAAAATCAGGAGGAAGAAATCTGAAAGGATTATCAAGTTGAAACTGGGAAAGAAAGTTGGTGGTGCATATGCACCTGGGAATTTAGAAGCTACACCTGTTACTCTAGAATAACTTTAAGTGTTGGTTTATGTGATATGAACATGGTATGTAGTGTGAAATGATGTGTTTTGGTGTATTGTTGTTGTTTTTATGAAACTGCTATTAGTTATGCTAGTTTGTATGAAACTATGTTGGTTTATGTGATGTGTATTTTGTGTTACTTAAGTTGATTGTTATTTTGAGCTTTTTGTTGTGTTAATTTGAAGTTGCATGCATGGCAAGGACTTATCTGGTTAAACTGCATGGCAAGGGAATATATTTGCATATATAGATAATTTAAAATTATGATTGATTATGTCCTTATATACCACGTGTGGTCAGTGGTCCATATACCCTTACTAACCCTTACTTTTCCATATATACCCCTGCACAGAACTCTAAAGACAATCCACTTTTAAATGGACCAAGTGAGTTCCTTATGGCTGACAATGTGGTACCCACACTTTAATTTTTAAAAGGAGCACATGCATATTATAAAATTCAGCAAGGTACATCATAACTAGGATCTTTCATATCATTCATTGAATCAACACAAAGTCATTACAATTACTCCCATGTACTTCCATCCCATTACATATACATTCCATTACATCTAACATCCCATACACACACACACTGATCAAACAAGCATTTAACCAAAAACCTGACTATACATTACAACTAGGATCTAACCTTGACCATGTACCCATACACCCATACACTTCCCAAAAAAGATAATAACCTTTAACATCCACCCATACACTTTCCAAAAAAACTAGTTGGAATTATATACCATCAATCATAAACACCTATTTGATCTGCTGCACAATTCAAGTCCATTTCAACCACATGGCAATGACTACAATTGCCATAACAAAGATCCCACACTTCAACATTCTGTTTTGCTTCGTCAACTCCATTAACTGTGTCTCAAACACTTGCTTATCTGCTTCCATAGCTTGCTGCAACTTAACCAACTTCTTTTGAACCTTCGAAACTTCACTAAACTCTTCTTTCCTTTTCAGCTCAAACATCATCTTACGAAGCTGTTCTTTGTAGTAACCCTCCTCCATTTCTTTGTCTTTCCACATAAAGAACTTGCATTTTGGACCTTCAGCTGACTGATTAAACGGGAAAAGCATAATTAGGGTTAGGGTTGCAATTAATGAAAATGTGTACATTTCCAGCTCAAAATAACAAATACGGTGTAAGTAAACAAAATGAATACTCACCAAAGAGTTTTTGCAGTTCCAAAACCTACGAGCTACATTATCGTCGGTCCAGGAAGTCCTTTCCACGCTTATTGCGTCTTGACAATCGCAAGGTGGACGGAGGTCATCATCATGAAGGTTTCCAACACGCAGGAGCTTGATTGATCGAGTGGAAGAGGCAGGAATTGTTCTGGTTATATCGATTGAGTGTAGAGTTTCGGAAGGGAGGCACTGACCTAATTTGGGGTAATAATGTATCCTTGTTGGTTCAATTAAGGAAAGTTTCCACGTTACAGATGACATGTTCAAATGCTTGTCCACATAAGCCAATACGCGTCAGCAACGACCCTTAAACTGGTAATATTTGCGCACATTCCTTTAATTAGCTGGTAGTTACTAACATGAAGGATCAATTGAGCACAAAAAAAACTTTAGTGACTAAATGTGCAAATTAACCAAACATTGATGTGCTACAATATCAAAAACCCTAGATCGTGTATTGTAAGGTTGTACATTTGTATTTCACATACTATATTTGTAGTAAACAAATTTTTGATGCATCTTCAAGTTGTAACAAGGGATGAGCTTTAGAACCGGATCGGTTCGGAACCGGAATCGGTTTTCCTATATTATAAGAACCGGGAACCGGACCACCAGTTCTAGCATCAGTTCCGGTTCTGGTCCCGGTTTTTCGGTTATTTTTCAAAGTAGAACCGGTTGAAATACTATAGATTATATGCTATCTTCCGGAGCTTGTAAATGATTCAATATTTAACCAAATTATGACTTTTTACATTCTAAATTGAAGTACAAACACTAAATTACATGATGAAACAAGAATCAAGTAATTCTGACTTCATATGAGTGAGTTATATATACATTTTAAAAGCGGGGACAGATTCCAAAAAAATAAAAAATGCTGAAACAGAAAAAACGCAACATTGATATGTTGTCTTCCGGGGTCTATAACTGCTTCAATACTTAACCAAAATATGTGTTTTTATAGTCTAAAATGAACTACAAACACCAAATTACATGATGTAAAAAAATTAAATAATTCCGACGACAAATGAATGAGTTATACACATTTAAAAAAATGGGACAGATTTCAAAAAACAAAAAATAATGTTGAAATAAAAAAACGTAGCATCGAGATGCTTTCTTTCGGGGCATGTTTCTGATTCAATATTTAACCAAAACATATGTTTGTTCCGTCAAAAATGAGTTACAAACTCCAAATTACATGTTGGAAAAAAATCAAATAATTTCGACATCATATGAGTGAGTTATGCGCATTTTAAAAAATGTCAAACCGGTTCCGGTTTTTAGAACCGGTAACCGGACCTATTACCAATTCCGGTTACGGTTCGGTTCTGGTTCCAGCGGTTCTAATGCTCATTCCTAGTTGTAACTTTACCATTTGTGAGGTTGTACATTCGGTTTTCATACTTTATATTTGTAGCCAAATGATTTTTTTGCAAGTGCAAGTTGCAATTTGTGAGATTGTACATTCTAGTGGATGATCCAAAACAAAAACAAGACAAAGCGGAAAACCAAGTATAGAAGATTTGACAAATTGGATAATTACACTCGATGAAATGGTGTTTTTGAACCGACAACAACGCACCGAGGAGAACCGGCAACACATCGAGGTGAATGTGGAAAAAGTGAATGAGGATGATTTATGGCATCACATAAATTTTGATGAACCGGTAACCCTTCAAACAAATCAATTTGTTGATAACGGATTAAATAAGCAAGTGCCCGTTGACAATGATGAAGAAAATGTTAGTGATATGCTAGAATTGTTTTATTAATATATAAATTGTTAATAATATATTATAAAATTTGTTAAAAAAGATATAAGAAACTAATGTAGGTGTTAAAAGAAGAGGTGTTAAATGAATGAGGGAATTTTGAAAATGAGGGGCCAACTACAAATTACTTCGATGAAACGATTTTGGATGATAATGAAGGTTCACCCCCCCGCTAGACCTAGGCCTCGTAATCCATCAAAGTATGTCTGTAGTCCTTACACGCAGGTATACAGTAGTAGTTAATATGGAAAAACCTTTTTTATCATTGTTAAAATAAAATAAAAAATGTTTTAGGTATACATGACACCAAAGTCTAAGCGAAGACGAAAGAAGAAGGTTGATACTAGTTCACCCCCTCCTCCTCCAGTATTCTCTGTTTATCCTGACTTTATACTTATGCGCCTGCAACCTTATATACCAGCTGGTGAGGTTGTATTACAAAAACATTTTTTTCACGGGTATGAGGTGCGACACAGATCCTACAAATTCATCATAAATAAAGATTGATGGACCTTGTTATTTGGTCATAAGGATGCCGGTTGGTTAGAAGAAATAGTAAGTATTTATAAATTCATGGCTACAAGCAATTGTTTTTTTATTGTTTTATTAGGAATTTACCAAAACTTGGCAACATATGACAATTTGGGTTAGATTTCTTAATGAGAGGCGGTTTGAAGGTGACCGGTATTCCATCATGCCTCCAACCTTTTTTTGTTTCTCATGCTCCGTCAGAGAGTTTTAATTGCACTGCATTTGCTTCGAGGAAAGCTAAATACCCTGACTTTATGGTTTCTTGGTGGGATGTTGATAGGTATAAATATAATTTTATAGAAATTACAGTTATTATAGTACTTCGTTTTTATTGTAGTATTAATAATTAGTTATTTTATCAACTTTATGCAAGTATATTTCTCGATTCATTTTTATCCAAATCATTGGTTGTTTGGTGAATTACGATTGGAGTCGATGGAAGTCCATTTGTATGATAGTTAGGGTAGCAATGCTTATAATGAGTTTAAGTCAAATGGAGCATTTACCCAGTTTGAGACAGGAGTGCAAGTTTTTTAGAGAAAATTAATTACTGTGAGAGGAGGAACATCACAAAGACACCATTGAAAATGAAATTTATTCTCGAAGATAATGTTCCCCAACAAAGCCGCGAGTTGGGACATTATGGTGTATCTGTTTGTATGTTTATGGAAAAACTAGTATCAGGACAACCAATAAGTTTAATTACAGACACTAAAAAGGCATCTATGGAATTTTGTCAAAGGATGGCAAAAATCTATTGGTCCTATGTAGTTTCATGTGATATGTATTTAACTGAATATTTGATTTAAAATCTAACAAGGATTACAACTTGTATACAATAATTTCCAATAACAAGACCCAACTACAAACTAAGCCTATCTTCAACTTCTTATTTTCATATTCAGTGTTTACTCGACTTTGCTAACTTAGTTATTATCAAAGAAGATTGGTATGTCGCTTCATCAACCCAACGGATAAACCCGTATTGTGGTCCCTGAGAAATAATGATAGATATGAAGATAAATTTAGGTGAAAATAAAATAAAAAACCCAAATATTAAGTAACTAAAAACCATGATACCATTTTTAGGCAAACATAAAATAATCTTCCAGGGTTTTTGTGGGTCCGCAATTTCCTTACAATACTTAACCTACGCAACTGCAGTATCCCATTCGCCTAATTTATTTAATTTAATATCAATAATTTCACAAATACATTAATTTGTTCAAGTATTACACATTTATACCAAATATAAATACATAAAAGTAAACTTTGTTTATGGTTTGACTGAAATCATGTGGTATGATTA